TTTCCTAAAAGATACTTTTCATAGCAGACAGATTGAAAAAGTAGAGCCAACCAAATGTTCCTCAGTATGAGAATGAATAAATTGTAGTTCACTTGCATTTTTGATATAATATAGCAGCTTTTAAAGATGTAACACATGTATGTCCTAATATAAACAAATTACCAAGTTATATTGATAGATACAAAACAAAGTTGCAAAATACATACAGTGTGTCACATAGGTGAAACATTTTGAATACTTTCCTCAAGGCTGCATTTATTAATAGAAAGTTCTCTATTAAAATTTAGGAAGGAATGCATGCCAAATTCCTTTCTGATTTATAGTCAGGAGAAGGGATCATGACGTCTACAAAAGTTCACAGGGGCATCGTTTTTTTCCGTAAATTTCTAAAAGTTCTTTTTGCCATAGGGCACATGTACTTGCAAAGAAAGACAGAAAGAGAGACAGGGAAAGTGAGAAATCACCCTCCCTTCCCGGGGAGAATGGTCACACCACAGCCCTTTCTTCTCCATTGTCCTCTTGGAGTTTTGGGCACACATGCACATGGGCCCAGCATGGTTTTCAGGCTGCTGGGTCCCCGACTCAAAGTGTGTGATTGGCCATGTGGGATCTAGCACATTAACCACTATGCCACCTACTGCCTTTTTTCCTGTAATTTTAAATGTTCGTTAAATATTTAAATATTTATCAACAGATAACTTTCCATTCTGGGTCTCTTAAACGTTTTTTTAAGGGGCTAGCAAATGGTGTAGAGGGTAAGGCACTGAACTCCCACATGGCTGACTGGGGTTCACATCCTCCGCATTGCAGCTTGCTCTCCCTCCCTCTCTCACTCTCTCTCTCTCTCTCTCTCACCCTCTCACCTATCTCCCCCGTCCCCTCTCTGTCTTTCTCCGATGAGTGCACGTGCCTATCTATAGCAAATGAATAAAATAAATAATTGTTCTTTTTTTTTTTTTTTTTCATTTCATTTTCTTCCATACATTCAATCACATTATTATTTGTCTTACAAATTGGATCTTTCAACAGGTGAACATTTCTCCCCAGTACTGTTGATAAATAATTGTTTTTAAAAACGATAAGTAAAAATTTTCCTCTGGGCCTCACCCTTCCACACCCTCGTATACTCTCTGGTGTGTGATAACTCCTAACCTTGCAGTTGCGGTCCGAGTGCAGACATGGAGCATATATTTTGAGTGAGGCCCCACAATGTCTGTCTTTCAGACTTGGCTTGCTTTCCTTAGCATTAAATCTTCTGTGTGCATCCACTCGGTATCACATAGCAGGTCTTACCAGTTTTGTTTTGTTTTATTCACAAGTTTTTTAACTTGTAATTTCTGTATTTTAAGATAATTTTCTCTTAAAACGCCGAACACAAATAACTTTCTATCTTTCGTTCTAATGGCTCTTTCATGTCCCTAGGTCAGTTCTGGGTTTTGCTGACGCAGTGTTAGGGACATCAAGAAACAGGAAATGGTCTTTTACTAAATCCCCTCAAAAAAGGACTCCTTTTTGTTCTAAAATAATTTTTTTATAAGTATACTTCTTGTTCTTCTCTTGACCTTCGCTACATCTTAAGAAATCATGGGAATTTTAAGATAACAGTACCATGACTGTGGGTTGAAGCAAAAGCGAAATTGGATCAAAGTCAACTTGGCAAATTGTCACACTGTTTTTGTAGGTATTTCTTTCAACTTTAACATCCACAATTTATTAAGTGACACTGTGTATCCAAGCGGAAGCTCAGAATCCTGTTTGGGCACCGCTGAAGAAGGAAATGGGGTCTTTATGGGACAGCCCTTTCCTCTTCAGTCCTGGCCAGGAACACCATTTTCTGTAGAAAACCTATTCAATCCGAGTGAGGTGGGGTGGCTTAGGGAAGGAAGATGACCTCTCCCTTGTAAAGAGGAATTGCCGTTTCCCCCAGTGACTTATTCAACTCGCTCCCACCCCTGTTAATAAGAGCGCTTGTGGGACTGCGTAGAATGACAGCCGTAGTCATTGCAAGTATGACTCAAGTTTTACGCCCTCCTATTTCCTATGGTATTTTACATTTTGATCCTTATAATCCCAAGCAGCATTTCTGATAACCTCAAGATTTGCTGATGCTATTTTAGAGTGAGTGGGGAGGTTTCTTTTTTTCTTAAAAATATTTTTTTAATGAATTTAATCACTTTTATCTTTATAGTGTATAACATTTCTTTTTCCAGCACGATTACTATACATATGGGGAAGGTTTCTTAAAAGCCAGAAGTTGGGGGCCGGGTGGTGATACGGTGGTGGCATAATCACTCTCTATGAGGAGGGTTCTGAGTCCATGACCCCAGACCTTTCTGGGCCTGCTGGGGACAATGCATACCCTTCATTTATGCCAGCCGAGACTGGACTGCAGCCTGGCACGAAGACCCTGTTTCGTGGGCTCTCACTCTTGCAAAATACTAGGTTGTCAGGAAAGTCATGATGCATTTTTTATGCAAAAATGCATCATGACTTTCTTGACAGCCCAATAAATAAACTTAAAAGCCAGAAGCTTAATCAATACCTACATTAGTGCATAATAAAAACCTAGCTGCTTTCAAATCTGTGAAGAGATTGAATGATAGAATTAAGCTAATCACCATGACTTTAATGGGAGAACAGGAGTTTCCCCAATGAGCCAAGAGATGTCTTTCTTTGGTGTTTTCCCTGCTGCCATCCACAGGTGGGTTAGCTGCTATGTGGAGCTGATGGGACGTGGTGGCCAAGGAGGGTATCTGACCTCCTCTTCAGCTTAGCTGATTTATTTATTTAAGTTGCACTGTTTTATAGCTAGAAAAACATTGATTACTGTATTAAAATTAGTGCCTGGGCCAGCTGATGGCGTCAAGGTGAAGGCATGGCCAACTGTGTGGTTTAAGTCTTGACCCCACTGGGTGCCTGCCCAGAATCTCAAGAGGAGGGAGGGAATGAAGACAGGATTGTGGTGTGATCATCCTTCATGGAGGGGTGCTTTCTCACTTTACATCCCTCTCTCCTTTCTCTCTCTCCCTGGAGAGTGCATGTGCCCTCTGGCAAATTAAAAAAAAAAGAAAAGAGAGAGAAGGACAATACCTTCATACATTATAAACAATATTTAACAAACTTTGTATATGTGCAGAGGAGGGAATAATTTTAGATTTACTGAGAAGTCCCAAAGAGGATGCTGTTTTCATACATCCCTCACTCAGGTTCTCCTTAATGTCAACATCTCACACTACTGTGAGACATTTGTTAGAACTGAAAATATGCTTTCTTACTAGGATTTCACCAGTTAAGACACTAAGATCTAAGATACTTTTTCTGTTCCAGGACCTAACACAGGTGACTACATTGGTTGTCTTATCTCCTTAGTGTCTTTTTGTGTTTTTTTTGAGAGAGAGATTTTCGCTGGAGAGGCAGAGACAGAAAGTGAGAAATCCCCCCCAGGGGGATGGCCACACCACAATCACTTCTCCTCCATTCTCCTCTCAGGATGTTGGGCATGCACATGTGCCTGGTGTGTTTTAAGCTGCCGGGTCCAGGACTTGAACCATGGTTGACTATGTTGGAGTCCAGTGATCTAAACATTATGCCATCCACTGTCCCTTCTTTAGTCTCTCCTGATCTATGGCAGTCGTTCTAGTCTTTCCTTTTCCCCATGACCTTGACATTCTTGAGGAGTATTGGGCAAGAATTGTGTAGAACATTCATCATTTTCGAGTAAATGAAAATGTGCATCTTCTGGGATTTTGGAAGGAAAGGCCCCTGTACTCCAGTGTTGATTTTCACCAATAATTTTCCATCAGCACAGCAGATTGGGCCTGTCAGTTGTTACTTTATTTTCCCAGCCGTTCTCACGGAACTCTAGAATTCCCATTTTATTTATCATAGATATAATACTTGGTTTTTGCTTCATTTGTGATCAGTCTGCGATGTCCATTTTGTCAGTGTGTTCTGGTTATTGAAACTGCATAGACAGTTTCCACCAATATGTACTTAATTCTTTGTTCGTGGCAGATTAGAGATGGACAACCCAATTGTTACGTGTTGAAGAATAAAGATTTAGAACAAGCTTTTAAAGGAGTTATTTACTTAGAGATGGACCTCATCTATAATCCGGTAAGTCAAACTCGGTCATACCTCCCAGCTTTTCTCTACCTTAAAAAAAAAAAAAAAAAAAAGGGACCCAGCAGTTAGCGTAATGGCTCTTTTTG